GATGTTTTTTTGTTACATTAGCAATGAAAAATCGGGATGATGTTAAAAATACTGAAAATCAAAACTTTTTTGGCCGTCCAAAATACTGAAAATCAATTAGGAGGAAAAAAATTCCCAGTTCCCCACTGTCTTCTGATTTCTAAATTAGTATATAGCTACATATTTTGACGGAAACAGTTACGTTTGATTGCCGTGCACGTCGCTGCTTTAGAAAGTTATTGAGAAAGCTGCAGACGACTTTATATATATCTACATATATATTTAAGAATATAAATTTTTTAAAATTTTTTAATGATATGATATATTTTTTTTATCTTAAGTGTATAAATTTTATATTTTTTATTTAAAAATTTATTAGATGGCAATAATAATAAGATAAATTACAATTTTAATTGAAATAATACAAGTTGCATATCTTTAAATAAAAAAATAAAAAAGTTCATATCTTTGAATTAAAAAATTAAAAATTTATAGTTTGATTTAAAAAATCAAAAAATTCTTTTTTTTTAAAGAAAATAATCTAGTTATATTAAACGAAGGTAAAGACATTAAAAAAAATTTTAAACCGGTGAAAAAGGCAATCTAGCAAAACTGTCACTCTTATCTGCTACATTAATAACAACTTTGAAGCACAAAAATAGTTCAAATAATAAAAAAGCACTAGAAAAGAATAGCTATGAACAATACAGCTAGACCTGGCACAGAAGTCAGTTTGGGTGAGTTGGGTCATATCAGATTTTGAGTTGTTTAAATTAGGTTATTTCGAATCTTGAATTAAGGATGTTAACCCATGATCCAGTCACTCGGGTTTCGGATTAAATCGAATGAACTAAATTTTTAAAAAATTAAAATTAAAATTAAAATTTTTTTATATATTTTTATATTTTTTTAACAAAATCTAATACTAATTAACTATTTAGTTAAAAAACTTTATTACTAATTAACTATTTAGTTAAAAAATTTATTAAACGTTAATTTTCATTTCATAATTCAATTTTTTTCCAATCTCAAAAAAGGAAAAGGAAAAGATTAGTGATTATATAAGTAGAACTAAAATATATATCAAATATATAATACTTATACAATATTTATAATTCATAATTTCATAAACGTATTAACCTTCATTAAAAGAAAAGACATGAATGACTAAAATTCAAAAGACAAAAGACAATTGACATATTCAATAAATATATTAATATCTAGTGCATATTCAATTTTTATAAGAGTATTATATAAAAAATACAGCTCAATTTAATATTTAGGAAGGTATTATACAAAAAAAAATATAGTTTTATTTAATATTAAAGTTTAAAAGACAAATCTAAAATATGTCTAACTAAATACAAGAAGAAATTGAATCGGAATTGATTTTTATTAATTAGGAACAAATTATTAATTAAGAACAAATTAGCAACTAATAATAGGCTTTGATATTTTTGATATTCTTGTCTTTGTACTTCTAATGGTTATGAGGGTACTTTACCCATTGGATTTTGATTTTCAATAGCATTTTTGCTTTTTATTTTTTAAAAAATGATCTTTTTTATGATATCATATGATATAACTCATTATGTGTCATCTAATCTAATTTTTTATGCGAGTGCCACCAAAGAGAAGGATTAGAGAGCTTAAGATGAAGAAGGGGAGAGTGAGAGTGGAGAAGAGGAAAAGTTGAGAGAAAGTGAAATTGATGAGAGAGTAGGGTTTGAATATTTTATTTATTTTTATTTTTAGGATTAAGAAATTATAAATTTAAAATTAATTTTTAAGTAATCTAATAAAAAATGAATAAAAAAATTCAGATAATTTTGAGTGACCTGATTCACCCGTGATTCAACCCATTTGAGTTCGGATAATTTCAATACAAGTCATTTCAGATTTCAGATTAATATATAGAACTTATGACCTTACTGATAATGGATGACGGATGGGTTGAGTCAAATTTTTGAATTGGGTCCAATTTTACCAGGCTTAGATAGTAGATACAGCATGCTTAGTTGCTCTCCTGCCCTTTCACTGTTAGTTATATATTATTATGCCACACCCACCACCAATAAATGCTTTTATGATAGCAATCACCTAGAATGGGAACATAAAAATGTTCCCCCATGAAACACCACCTCGACAAACAAACTGCACAACACAACACCTACCTTGACATGATGTAAATTGTTCTTTCATTTTAAATACTAAAGTTAAATAGGTAATGAGTTTCCTTAGTACAGTTGAATTGTT